ACCACATCCCCAGTTCTTTTTATTTTTTTTTATTTTGATACAGGGTCTCATTAAGTTGCTGAGAGTCTCCTAAGTTGCTGAGGCTGGCCTCAAAGCTGCAATCCTCCTGTCTTAGCCTCTTGAGTTGCTGAGATTACAGGTGTGTGCCACTGTGCCTAGCATGATCACTTTGCTCTGATAACTACTAAAGGTACATTCTCATCCCTAACTCACATATGGGGAAACTCATCCCTAACTTACATATGGGGAAACGAAGGCTTAGAGTGATTAAAAACTTACCTAATACCATTGTGGTGATAAATGATAGAACAAAGGTTGGAACTCAGGGAGCCTACCCACTTGCCAGTCTTCCCCTTTGGGACAGAGTTGGCATGGGTGGGGCCAGGCAAGCTCCCTTAGGGAAGCCAAGAGGAGACAGATTGGAAGAAATGTGGTCCTTGTAGGACTGAGATGAGAATCAGAGGGAATGCTGTTCTAATGCCCACCATGTGTGCAGAGGCTCTGGACCAAGAAGGCAGGAGCTATGTAACAACAGGTCCCACCATTATGTATAACTGTAATGCACCAATAAAACAATGTGGATGGTGGAGAAGTCAGGAGCCATGTCCAGTGTCTTTTTTTTTTTTAGAGAGTGAGAGAGGAGAGAGAGAGAGAGCGAGAGAGAATTTTTAATATTTATTTTTTAGCTCTCAGCGGACACAACATCTCTGTTGGTATGTGGTGCTGAGGATCGAACCCAGGTCGCACGCATGCCAGGCGAACACGCTACCGCTTGAGCCACATCCCCAGCCCATGTCCAGTGTCTTAATTCCCAGGGTCCCCTGAGCATGTGGAGAGCTTCTGGAAAGACTGATAGAACTTGAGTAGCAGAAAATGACCGCTCAGCTGAGGCCTGGGATGGGCCCTATATCATTCAGTCCCTTCTTTTTTTGTGGATTGAACCCAGAGCCTCATGCTTGCTAGGTAAGCACTCTGCCACTGAGCAACATTCCCAGCCCATTTGATCCCTTCTCAGTGAAACTTTACCTTGTGCCCAGTGTGCTACATGCTGGAGGAGTGAGACATAGACTCTGCCCTCAAAATCAAATCAAATACATAAAGAGCACCTAGTAGAACATGCTGGGCCTTGAACTAAAACATTTGACCTAAGTTATTTCGTTCATTCTTATTAGTCACCGTGTACAGAAGTGAAAACTGAGAGCATAAGCACCTTGCCCACAGTCACACAGCCACTAGATGGTAGCGCTGGCATTTAAACCCAGGCAATCTGGCACAGCCTAAACTACCAACTAAACTAGCCATGTGCCAGGCTGTCTGCAGACAATTGCTCATCTAGCAGGGAGCATGGAGGTGAGGTCTTGAACTCTTGAACTCTCCCCAGCTTATGGCTAGGACAAACAGCTGGCCTCATCTGCAAATGCAGAGAAAAATCAAACTAGGGATATCGCAGTGGGCATCTGCTTATAGGGTCATTGTGAGGATTAAAAGTTAATAATATAAAGGTATTAGAATAGTACCTGACACCCTGTAAGGACTATAGAGTGTTGTCATTAACTCTCAAAGTCAACTCTATATTGTTATGTGTATTTTATGGCTAAAAGAGGGCCAATCATGCATAAGGACCCAGAGCTGAGATTCAAACACACATCTCCCTGAATCTTGGTGCCAGAATCTAAAGCACATGCTCTTAACCTTGAGCCTTATGACATGGGTTTGGGGCTTGGTGATAGGCCTCTCCTCAACAGCTACAGGGACAACTCTCTTCTGCCCTCCACAGAGCAGCCCTTATGCACTCCAGCCAAGATCAAATGAGGAGGCAAGAGAATCTTCATAGCCCTTCCCCTGTTGAGGTGGAGGAGGGGTGAGCCAGTCTGGGAAGGCGGGACAATCTTCCAAGAGCAGCAGTCATACACAGGACACTGTCACCCCACACCCTACAGTTCTTCCCCTTGGCGCAGTGGGCAGGGCAGGCCCCAGGCAGCAGCCTCTACAAATACATAAACACATAAATCACCCAACAGGGCTGGCAAGGCCACAGAAAGAAAGGCAGGTACCAGGACCAGGGGAGGAGAGGATGGCCCAGCTCCAGACCCAGCCAAGGTGGAGGGAGGAGCTAGGGATATCGCAGTGGGCACCTGCAGACACAGAGCCTCCCTGAGGTCTAGTGGCAGGCTAGGGAGATGGCCTGTGTATTAGGACAATTGAAGATCACTTCTGTGAGAGGAGGAGAGAGGGGCCTGGGGCCAGGGGGCAACTGAACCAGGGCTAGCACTCTGCACTTGGGTAGTGGGTCAGGCCCACAGATATCTGGAAGGCCAAGGGAGAGACTGAGTCCCCACATGATTGTGGGCCTAGATGGCACTTCTGGCAGTGGGGGTTGTCACCACCGCTCTCTGTCCATGGTCATCTCCCACTGGCCAGGAAGGTACCTCCACATGTGTGAAACTGCTAGGACAAAATCCTGAACGTTCTCCTGCATGGGGGTCTCTGCTCCAGCCAGGAGGGCAGCTGGGGAGGGGGGAGAGGGAGATGCAGGGGAGTCAGCTGGCAGGGCGTAGAGCCAAGAGCCCCACATATAGAGCTCTGGACCCAGCCATGCAGGGCCAACACCCCTCTGCCCACGTGGTTCTCATTAAGCTCATTAGCAGCAAAATAGCAACAAGCAAAGAGCGCAGGGACCAGCTAATTAGCGCACAACCCATCGGTGGGCGAGCTTGCCCCAGCTGACTTCAAGTGCAACGCCTCCAGGAAAGCTGCCAGCCTGCCTGCGTGCCCGGGTCAGGGTGGCCGCCTCAGGCGGTGGAGTGAGAGGGCCCAGGAGAGAAATAAATAATGGGGGAGTGGGAATTCTGGAACAGCACCCACAGGAGCGCAAGGGTGCACACACACGGGTTCTGTGACAATCTACACCCACCCAACCTCGAGTCTCCAGTGTTGAAACTCCAGTTTGGCAGAGAGAAATGCTGGAAAAATCACAAGCAAGTCAGAAAACTGAGCTTCCAGGCTGGTGCAGAGGGATGGTAGCCAGACCCAGAGCCCTCAGGCAGCAGGGGAGAAGCCCACCCCCTGTGAAGCTGCCCTGCCCCTGCGGCAACTCCAGCCTCAGCAACACACTCCACTGGCCAATGCTGCTGGCCCTACAAAGGCTGAGCTCTCTAGAACAGACCAGCCTTCTCCCCACCTCCAACTCCACATCCCTCCATGGCTTCCAGAGTTCCCAAGGCCCTGCTTCTCAAAGTGCTGTTTCTCAAAGTGTGGTCCCTGGCCCCGGCAGCTTGTTAGAAACACAGAATACCTGTCCCTGCCTTCAGACCAGCTGCACCAGAATCTGCTTCTTAATAGGATCCCTAGGATTTGTGGGAACATCCAGATGTGAGTAGGGTCCCCAAGGCAGACCTTTGGATGATGGACCCAAAACTCTGCTCAGTGGCCTTTAGCAACAGCTAGAATCACCTAGGGTGCCAGGCCCCAGCCCCAGAGCTTCTGCCTATCTGGAGATATTGGAGAACCAGCAACAAGAGCATCCACCATGCTGGGAACACACACATTTTGTCGCATGCCTGGACTGTGAGCTGTGAGGCCCTAGTGCTCACCATTGAGGGAGGAGGGAAGGGGAGCTGGTGTAAAGAGGCTTTGCAGTCAGACTTGGGTCTGGCAGAGGCAGCGGCCACTACAGGAGAAGCAGTCAAACAGGGGTTCTGGCCTGGACCTAAGGGGTCCTGGGGTACAAATGCAAAAGATGCTAGGGGCTCCTGATATCACCTGTGGGGATGTCCAGGCTCAGTTGGTGTTGGGAGGGAATAAAGCCCCAAAGATCAGAAGGTAGGGGTTCTGGGTCAGACTACCCAAATCCAGCCCAGCTCCAGCACCTGTAGCCACAACATATTCTCAGCTACGTTTTCTAACCAAGCAGAGCCTCAGTTTCCTCATCAGTAAATGAAGTTGATAAGTAAATACCCACTTCATAGGATTACTGATAGGCACGTGAACAATTCAGCACAGTGTTGTGTTAGTAATGCTCAGCTGTTAGCTAGCAGCAGCAGCAGCACACTGTCATACCCAGTTCACAGATGGAGAAAGTGAGGCCCAGAAAAATAAGATTATATCAGTGATAGCAGGGTGTAAGTATTAAGAAGGGTATCCCAGAGTTAGATTTTCTGGGTTCCAATTAGTTCTTCCAATATCTGGTAATGTGACTTTGGCAAGTTAGTATCTGTGCCTCGGTTTCCTCACCCACAAAATGGAGAGTGGCACTGCTTGCCCCATAGGATATAGAAAGTACACCTTGCACAAAGGAGTACTGCATCAGTACCGGTTTTTGTCATTGCTATTTTGTTTGATGCCATTCTTAGGGGGCTCAAGAATAGAAGACCATGGGGCCTCCCCCAGAACCTATGGCTCTTCCTACCTCAAGCCTTGGTTTCCACGGAGCTAAGAGCACTGCTCTCTTTCCTTTCATTTGAGCCAGACTTCCAGGCTCCAGAGCAGTCCAAGGGAAGACCGGCCCAGACTCTGGATCAGAGAGAGCCTTATCCCAGTGAAATGCTTGAGAGAGGCCAGGACCGCTGGGCCAGGGGCCAGAACAGAGGTGGATTCCCGTAGCACAGAACACAAATCGTGTCCCTGGAGATGGGCTACAGGGAGGCTCTGGGGCCAGATAATGCCTGGGAAGAGACTGGCGTAGTGTTGTGTAATAGTAAACACTCTGCAGACCACAAGTATGTGTGGGGTACCCAAGGCACAATGGGCACCAACACAGTGGTGCTGTAGAAGGGAATACAGGAATCTTTTAACCATGTGTGGGAATTTGCGTGGAGAAGCCACTTCCAGTTGGAAGATATTGAAATCTCCTCCCTTCCCCTGCACGTGTCCTTTACTCCAGGGAAGGGCTGCACCCTCAGGAGCCAGGCTGAGGAAGACACCCCTGCTCCACGTCCTCAGTCCTCAGCCTAGCCTACGGGGGGCGGGGGGTAGGTGTGGATGGTGTAGGAGGCACTCACGTTTGATACAGTGGTTGGTGCTGTTTGCTGTTGTCCATCCTGGGCAGCACTGTCCCCCGCAGACATTCCTCCTGCAAGGGGTCACCAGCACAGGGTCAACACAAGGATGCTGAGAGCCAGAACTATTCATAGAACCTTCCAATGGTCCCACCCTTTGTAGACAAGGCACAGGAGAACACTGCAAGGCTGGGGAGATTTTCCCCATTCCACAGGGAGGCTGCCTGGCCCAGGGACAGGAACTGTGGGGTCATGCAAATCTAAGTTGAATTCTGATTCTGTCATTCCCTGTGTGGCCCTGAGAACCTCACTCTCTCCCCCTGTCCAGTGGAGTTGATAAGCCTGCCTCACCGGGTGGTTGTGATGATTAACACCGGATGCAAAAGAAGGCAACAGGACAGTGACCGTAAAGATGATAGGCAAGCTCAGGGAGGTCCAGTGACTTGCCAAAGCTACACAACAGGGAAGTGCCAGAGCCTGATCCAAACCTGGGTGGGCTCAGCTCTACACTGCCCCTCACCAAACACAATCACCCTGTCCCTTGCCCTGTGAACATGGCAACCTAAGAGAGTCAGAAGACACACACGGAACAGTCTTAAGAATGTGTCAACAAACATGTGTGTGCTAGGAGGACACCTTGTCTTCATCAGAAGGAGTGCTGGGTGGGAGGTTGAAGGAGCCGGGCTCAGGTCTCTGTTTGAGAGGGGATTCTGGGAAGGCAAGCTGGTAGGAAAATGGGGCTGGGGACATGGTGAGCACACTTCTCATTTGGGAAGGTTAATGGAGCCCTTCCCCCCAGCTACCCCTTGATGCTGGCTTTGAGGGCACCTACAGGAGACACTGACCTTCCATGCTGAGTAGGGCATTCACCCCATTCCCCCGAACTTTGCTCTCAGGTGTCTGGGGGACACTAGCTGCACCAGCACATTTCCCAGTCCTCTCTGTCTAGCCAAAGACTTAAATGTCTGGACTAGGGTGACTCCCCACAAGAGTCCCTCCTGGGGAAAACTGACCCCTTGGGGCCTGGCTCCAGTGCCCCGCATTCCATAATAATGAGTACAAGTTGTCCACTGAGCGCTCACTGGGAGCAGAGGTCAGGGAGAGGTACAGCGGCCAGAGGATGGAGCAGCTGGCCATTCCTGGGATCCCTGTGGCCAGGATGGCGAGCATCTGGTCCCGCTTAGGAGATTGTTTGACATTTGAGCGGACCCCAAAGCTTGTGTGGTTTTGGGAGCCTTACAAAGAATTCAGAATAAATTCCTGCAGCTTGAAAAACCTGAGGCCCATTCCTAGTCCTTTGGTCCAAAGTCGTGTGGAGCTGCCTCCCAGGGAGCTCCCAGAATGTCCCGCTGGCCCAGAGCTCTGTCTTTCGGGCCACCACCTTCAGCAGCTTTCTGGTTCCATGAAGGCCAACTCCCTGTCGGGGCCCAAGTCACCAGGTCCTGAGGAAGGGGCTGCTCCTCAGACACAGTGAATCTGAGAGCGGACCCTGGTGGCAGGGGAAAACAACCCTGTGGAAGTCACTACCCTTTGTGACTGTGGAAGACATAGCCTCTGAGGGGGCTGGGGTGTCTCTGAGAGGAAACAGACTGAATGCCCTAGGGTTTCTTTTTTTTTTTTTTTGTATCAGAGATTGACCAACAAGCCACATCCCCAGCCTCTTTTTTTTTTTTTTTTTTTAGTTGTAGGTGGACACAAAACCTTTATTTTTATTTATTTTTTATTTATTTTTATATGGTGCTGAGGGGAACCCAAGGCCTCACATGTGCCAGGCAAGTGCTCTACCACTGAGCCACAAGCTCAGCCCATCCCCAGCCCTCTTTATTTTTTTTGAGACAGGGCCTCACTCAGTTGCTTAGGGCCTTGCTAAATTGCTGAGGCTGGCTTTCAACTTGTGATCCTCCTGCCTCAGCCTCCCAAGCACTGGGATTAAAGGAGTGTGCCACTGTGTCTGGCTGTCCTGGGGTTTTCTGAGAACTAGGACCTGTGGGAAACCAGTCAGCATGCATTGAGGGGTCTGCTTGGCAAGCCACGGAGCTTAGCCCAAGGAAGCCCCCCTGAACCATCTGTCACCAGAAATGCCCTCAGCAAAACTTTGTAGCTGCTCCACTTGCCTATAGTGGAGCCCTGAGGAATTGAGGACTGGCCAGAATCAAAGGCTGCCGCCAGTCAAGGGGCCAGGCTGGGGGCTGGGAGGACACTCAAGAGAGATCCAACTATTCCATGAGAGCCTCTAAAGTCCCTGCAAAGCCAATATGAAAGTCTTAAGTACAGCTGAGCAAGGAGAATCCGCTGGGAGATGACCATTCAGGCCAGCACAAAGAGCAGATGAGCCTGGCTAGTTGGGGCACAGATTCACTGACTCTGACTCGCTGGAAGTCAGCTTCATCAGATGAGCCCAGTATTCCAGATGAAACTACCCAGCAAACATTAGCCCAGTGACCAGCATCACTATTGGGTATACATCTGGCTAACACCTCTGACCAGACTGGCCCTTTGTTGAAAATCTCCCCCAGCTCTCTATGGTCTGCCTTGTGCGGTCTAATTGCCCTCAACACTCTTCCCCCATCTCCATGACCATCCACAGACAAGGCTGTGCTCCTCCAAGGATACAAGCTTGTCACCATCAGTGTCACACTTGGATGTCTTTGCTTCCGCTACTCCCTCGGTTTAGGAAGCCTTCCCTCCCTTGCATGCTGAATAAAATCCTTTACATTCCAGATCAGACATTGCCTCCCCTGTGTAAAATCTCCTCTGACATCTGTCAGCTTGTCCCCTTCTCCCCTGAATGCCATCAGTAGCACCAACTGTCTCAGGTGGTTGGGTGTCTGGGTCTCTGACTTGGGGATCTCGAAGGTTCTTTCCCTTTGCTCTTGGTACCTCTGGAGGCTCACACAGTACCTGACATGTGGGATATATTGAATATGCCTTTGTTTCGTAGAATCCAGTGCTTCCTCCAAAGCAGAATGAAAAACACCGGAAGGAGTGAAGGGGATTCTAGGGTTATGTGATCGCAACATTCAGCAACGCTGAGGAACACAGTGAGAAGTGACTGCCTGTTCTGTGATCGCTCTAACCTGTGAGGTCACTGAGCAAGTCTCTGTCTGAGGCTGGGTCCCCATGGACAGATCCTCCCCTGGACACACACCAGTTCCTCTTTTCATGGGGAGAACATGCTACAGAATTGATCTTCTAAGATAATGAATGGTGTCTGTCTGACCAAAACTGAAGAACATTTTGTTTTCATTTCCATTTTCCTACAATTACCTTCTCTTTTTGACAAGTGGTACTACTTTCAACTTATGATAATGATACAAAGTTTCCCTTTAATTAAGAATTTATTTATGTAGAACAATGAGTCAAGCACTGTTTGTAATGGCAAAAGAATGTAATTCATCTAAATGTCCCAAAACAGGAGGATGGATAAATAAACTGTGGTATATTTAGACAAAGGAACAATTAACAAGAGTTAAAATGAATAAACTTGGGCTAATTAAATCTCCAAAGTTTAGTGAGGAAGGGGAAAAATCAAATTGTAGAAGGAGAATACTGCTGAGATCGTATTAGCCCAGTATTCTATATTCAATAAGTACAAAAAATAATATTGTATATTTTATGGGTAAATGCATCTGTAATAATAGTATAAAAACACATGTTGGAATTAAATTCACGGGAGAAGTTAACTCTGGGGAAACAGAGAGGCAAAATTATAGAAGAAATTTCAACTAAAAAAATTGGAAGCAAAATATGCCAAAATATTATGGTTTGTTGGGTTATGAGTTCCATTATTTTCACTACCTCTTTGTATGTTTGTAAAACTTCATAAAGTACTTTAGAACAAATAAAACACTAAGTCCTATTATTTTAGCAGTACCTCAATTTAAAGAAAATAATAGAATAAGGGGAATTATTATGGAGGTGATATGCTCTGAGACTTGTTCAAGAAACACTGAAGACTAGAAAACAATTGCTCTAAAAGTCCCCCTATAGACAGTAAGATTCATTAGTTCAGGAAAGCTATCTGCTACTGTGCCTGGTGCATACTTTAAAAATCTTCACTTTGTAAAATAAATCCCCACTACATTAAAAAATTCCAGAAGGACAGAGGTTGTCTGGCTTGGCCACTGATGTAATGAAGGGAGGGTCCAGCGTGGTGTTTGGCACATAGTGAAATGAGTGAATGAACCGTTCCAGTAGCAGTGATGCAGTTCCAATACTGACCAGAAGGTGGCAGTTGGTCCTCGGCGCTGAGAAGTCACAAGACATTGGCCAAAATGATCAGTCTGAAACTATTAGCCAGAATGGACTCCGGTTAGGGAGCGGGTGTAAGAAAATGCCACTAAGTCCCTCCCCAGCTGCCATGGAGTGGCTGACTGGCACATCAGAGGAACCCATTATTTGCCAAAGATGCAGAAGACAATCTGGGGGAGGACCTAACCCACACATGATGTGACCTTGCACCTGTGTATAGTAGGTGCCTATGGTTTCAACCCAGCCCAAGCATTTGCACGCCTATGTTTATCCACCAGCCTTGTGGGGGTGATAATCTCCTTTGCTCACTACATCTTATTTTATGATTTCTAATAGTGCACCTTCCTACTCCGATCCCACTTCATCTTTCCTCCACTTGCACTTAACTGCCTACAGTATAAGCTCCTCCATGATCCAGCCCAAATTCCATCTCTGGTCTCAGCTCCTTTGCCTCCTCTACATCAGGTCTGCAGTCCTGCCCCTGGGTCAGTGTCAACAGTGAAAATTCTTGTCATTGGGCAGTGCTAAATCAGCCACTCTCACTTCTAGACCCCACTCTGGTCATCACTCCTCTGCTTCCTCACCTGCTGTCCATTGAGCCTGGGGACCCAAGTCACAGGGCCTCCTTCTCAGTTCCTCAGCCACACTGTCCCATTTCTTTGCATTTAACATGGCATTTCCAGTACTCAAAAGCACATTCACCAGCACATATCTGCTCATTTCTCCAACTTGATTTTAAGTAATTGGGTTGCTATCCCCGCAGGAACAACTCTTGGGTCTCTAGGCCCTTGCCCCCTTTCCCATGCTCAGCACATGCTCTTATGAAGCATGTATTCACTTGCAGAAGTCAGGAAAGGAAAAAACTGAAACACAGCAGGTGCTCCATTAGTACTCATTGAATGATCTTACGTGGGAGGACTTGGCAGCAAAGGGCTTCCTTCTCTGCTGGCTTTGGGGAGGGCAGCAGGAAGATCATTCACTCATTCAACAGATACTTAGGGAAGTATGTACAGGCACTGGGAACACAGAAATGAAAAAAAAAAAAAACCAAGTCCTCACTTCATAGAACTTGCATTAGTGTGGGCTTGGAGGCCAGACCCTGAATACATAAACAGAAATAGAAAGATAATGTGTCAGATGGAATAAGTGCTATGAAGAAACATAAAGCAGGGTGAAGGGAGAGATGGGGTGGGAGTGATCAGAGAAGGCTCCTGGGAGCAGAGATCTGAATGAAACAGAGTGAATCCTGCTGAAATATTGAAGAGTGCTCCAGTCAAGAAAAAACATGCAGAACAAAGGCCATGAGGCAGAAGGTCCTCAGGAATAAACTGGGGGTGGAAGCGTCTGTGCTGTTCTCGGGGAATAAACCCAATTGGTAAATGCCAAGAGGGACTGCCAGAATCCTTCCCAGACTTTACTGTGCACTGCCAAAGTCTCCTGTGCCCTTATTACAGAGACACCTGTGCAAGACCTAGCGCCCTGCTGCGCCCCTATGATCCTGGATTGTTGGGAGTGAGAGTTCCTGAGAAGCCTTTTCATGCTAAAATTGGGCCCCTGGAGGGTAGCGGGTAGTGCCCAAACTGCCCCTAAGCCCATACCTACGCCTATACCCGGCCATCTGCGTGCCCAGGCCGACCCGTGCCCCAACCCATACACTTGTCTCAGCGCACTGGCTTCGCTGCCAGCCCCCTTCCTGGAGACGCATCAGTCTTCATGACCAGGTGCCCTCCACATCCTCCASCTATCCGCGCCCTGAGCCGGCTCTACCTCCCCCTGGCCTCAAGGGCCAGCAGCGCTCACCCAGCTGCCCCCTGCTCCCCGCTGCCTCTCTGATCCCGACTGCGCTGAGTGCGTCTGCTAGAGCTGGTTGGCTGAGGGCGGGAGGAGCGTGGGCGCCTGTAGAGGCTCCTGCAGAAAGATTTAACGTCGAGCGAGGTTCAAGTGAATAGGTTTGAAAGGGTGAGGACGGTTGTAAACTCTTCAGATCCCTGGCGTGGGAACCTTGGGATTGCTTCCCCGCAGTGCTAATGACAGAGGCATAAGGACACGAGTCCAGTGCCGTCTCTTCTTGTCTGCACACCCCTCCACGAATGTGAGCACCGTAGTCCCGACTCCCGCTGTCCCCAGTACCCGCCATGCTTCCCTCTCCCGTGCTCACCCCGTGAGCCGCCCTCGCGGTGTAGACCCGGGCCGCTGAGGGGTCCCGAGGCGCCGGAGAGCCGGCGCGGCCCGAGCCCGGGGTGTAGACTGCTGCTGGCCCAGTGGACTGCTTCTCCAGGTCTGCACAGGTGGCTGGACTCGGCGCGGCTGCTGCGCGCGGGGCGGCCTCCTGGCCTCGGTCTCGACGGGCCTCCTGGGGCTCCCCCAGCTGAGCTGGGTCCGCTCTGCCGGCCGCAAGCCCGGGACGGGCGGGTCCTCCTCCCGGAACAGACTGTACACCTTGGCTGCAGCCGCTGCGTGGTGGCTACCCCCGGGGCGCCGCAGCCAATTCGCGTCCCTGCTAGCTGGCTCGTATCTCCCCATGGGGTCCCTCTGGGCATGCCCTATGCCCACCAAGAAAGCCAGGGTAAGTGGCAGGAAGCCACTCCAGGGGTTCCGCAGGGCGCGTCCCGGACAGCGGGCGACAGTCGGCGGCCTCATGGCGCCTGGCGGGTGGGCGTCAGGGACAGTGCAGGGTTTGCAATGGGTGAGCCCGACCTTTCGCAGACTGCTCTCTGGACCCGCCCCGCGGCCCGCTTCTTCACGTCTATGGATCCCCGAAGCAGTTGACTAGGGGTCTGGCTCTCCCCTGAGCTAGGGCTGCGCGGCGCGAGCGGCGAAGACTGCGCGCCCAGAGCCTCAGTCCGCGCTGCTCTGCAGCTGGGCGCGCACCGCCACGGTACCTTCGCACTCCCTCCCCGGCACTGTGGCCGTCTGAAGGGGAACTGGAGGGGGTTATTTTTGGAAACCTCCCCCTACTTTTTCGTCTCTTTTATCCACGCCATGCCCCCTCCTCGGAGGGACAGCTCGGCCCCCTCATTACCAGCGAGGGAGAGAGGAATTCCAGCAACACCCACTTTGGCACCGGGAAGCGAGCGGGCGGCGAGGGGGATTAACCCGTGAGGAGCTGGGGGCTGCGCGGAGCTGACCAGGGGAGCTGATAGGGCAGATGGCGTCTGCCTGGACAGGAACACCTGAGACACCTTTCTCCTGCCCTGGGCAAGCTCCAACTGCCCACCTGTTCCGAATTTATCTTCTGCGCCTGTCTCCACGACATACTCTTGGTCTGATGACCAGGGCGGCAGCCTCACAAGTCTGAAAGGCTAGGCGAGGTACAGAGACCCCAAAGACAACAGGGCCTGGGCCAGAGGCACTAGCGTCTGCCCCCTTCGCCTCCTGTCCTGGCCGCTGGGGGTGCCCCCCCCCCGCCCCGTAAGAGACGGCAGGCGCAGGGCAGCACTCAGAAGTTGGCCTCGCTCCGCCGCAGGGGGACACCGAGCCCTGGAAGGACGCCTGGGGCGCGCGCCCCCTGGTGGAGTTGGCAATCCTGGACTTGTGAACTTTAGTCTGCCAGTTGCTTTGGCTCCTTGATCTTAATCCCCCTCCTGTGGTGTCAGGGCAGTGGTGGTGGCTGCTAGAAAAGGTGTCCTCTTTTTCACGGAGGCATAGACATGGAGCCTCTTGAATAAGGTTACTCAGAAATAGCCTGTGCCAAAGAGGGGAATGAAATCCAGGCGTTCTGCTTCTGGCTCACAATCCACTCCTTGGATACCTACCCCAGCTTCTCATTCCCTCCAAAATTTACTCAAGGGGGACTTGAGGAGTTCTGATTGAGCCTGTATGCATATTTAGTCTCACATCTTGGATGCAAGGGAGACAGGTGTGCAAGTGCCAATTGCCTCCCATCTGAGTACCAGCAAGTAAGCAGCCCACTATTCTCACCCATGCCCCCTGCCTGAAAGCCTAAAGACCTGGGCAAACATGGCTTCCCTGGGTGCATTTTTATGGGGCACTACTTCCTAGGGAGGCAGAGTGAAAAAATAGGCAGGAGCTACTGGCTTACAGCGTCCCACACTGTCACAGATAATATCTAATGATGGGGAAAAAAAAAAAAAACTTAATGTCCTACCTTGGCCTACCAAGGCTCACTCAAAAAGTTTCTTGCTGTGATTTTAGTTCACCTCCTGAGCTGGTACTCATCACATGGCCGCTGCCTGTGCCCTCTGTCTACTCTTTAAACAAGCCAAGTTAGTGCCCACTTCCTTCTACCTGGAACTTATGTCTCCAAGATGTCTACAGTACTTGTTCCTCACCACTTCACTTGCATCGCAGCTCATACCTCTTGAAGTGGCCATCCCTGACCCACCCACCCCCACGTCATTTCTCTCTCCCACATCACCCTACTTCATTTTTATTGTTCCACCAATCCATTTAAATGATCTTGTTATTTGTTTACACGTGCAAATGTTTTTTTCATTGTCATTGTTTTCATATTTTATTGGTGCATTATAGTTGTACATAATGGTGGGATTCATTGTTATAAATTCACACATGCATACAATATAACAATATAATTTGGTCAGCAACTTGTCTTTTTAAATATTTTTTAGTTGTCAATGGAGCTTTATTTTATTTATTGATATGAGTTGCTGAGAATCGAACCCAGCGCCTCAAACATGCTAGGCAAGCGCTCTGCCACTAAGCCACAACCCCAACCCCAGCAACTCATTTTTTGAATGGACTGAATCTGAAGAGGGACAACCAGGAAACAGCTATTCTTTCTCCATTACTCCCTTTCCCTGCCCTTAATGACATCTCAGGCAAAGTCCATGGCTTGCCCATCCTTACCAGACACAAGGATCATTTCATTTCTGTAATTAAAACCAACTTTCAGACACTATAGTCTTCTGCTTAAATTATAATCTCAACTTAATCAATATTACATCTAATTTTATACTTCTTATCTACCCCCCCCCAGGCCTTGACCTCAGACCCTATAGCAGGGACAGTGGGATGTGGTCTGCCAAAGTTGGGCAAGAGATATTGGAGGAAAAGTAGCAAAGTCTTATGTAGCAGGCCTCCTCTTCATAAGCACAATTGTGGGTTCTTGGGGGACTTCCACCCTGCACTCTCATAGCAGAGCCATCTCTGGACAACCTCTTGAAGATCTCTGCATCCTCTGTCTACCCATGAGATGTTTCAGTTCATGCCAGGCAAAGCAATATTGAGTTGGCCATTCCTTACCCTGCCACAAAGGCCAATCCTGCCAGGCTCCATAGTCCCAATTTTCCAGATGGGGGTGCACACAGGTCTCTTTATTTATGTACATCCTCAATTCAGAAAGACATCTTGGGTTCTCCCAAGAACTTTCTTGCTATGCTTTCGTACATTGGGATACCAGTAACTACCAACAACTCACCCAGCATCCATGGAGGGACAGTTATAGGGAGTTAGTTACATTAGTCAGATTTTTGTAACTGTGACAAAATACTTGAGATAACCAACTTAAAAAGAGGGAAGATTTATTTTGGCTCATGGTTTCAGAGTAGTCATGGTTTCATGACCTATTGTTTTGGGTCTAGGGCAAAACAGAACATCATGGTGGACAGTGTGTGGTGGAGCAAAGTTGCCCACCTCTTGAAGACTGGGAAGAAAGAGGGGAAAAGGGGTCAGGATCCCAATATCCTCTTCAAGACACACTCCTAGTGACCTAACTTCCTTCCACTAGGCCCCACCCACTAAAGGTTTCACCATCTCTCAATAGCATCACAGCCAGAGACCAAGCCTTCAATACATGAGACTTTGAGGGTCATTTAAGATCAAAACCATGCCAGGCATGGTGGTGCACACCTGTAATCACAGCAGCTTGGGAGGCTGAGGCAAGAGGATTGCAGGTCCAAAGCCAGCCTCAGCAATTTAGCAAGGCTCTAAGCAATTTAGCTAGACCCTGTCTCAAAATTAAAAATAAAATGGGCTGGGGGGGGGGGTGGCTCAGTGGTTAAGTGGTTCAGTCCCCAATACAAAAATAACAATAATACATCCAAACCATCACAGCAGTCTGCCCTCCTCTTCTTGCAGACAATCAGTGCCCCCTTCACTAGGTTTGCAGTGAGGAGTACTACGGAGGAAATCTCAGAGCTGTCTGCTAATACAACTGTTCTCTACCTAGTCACCTCGTCCTTTTTATCTGTAGACTAAAAGCAAGGGATGTCATTTGGGAGTTGTTGAACCTGTTCTTTAGTAAGATATCCTGTACATCTCTTCAGAATGTGAGAATAGTTAGCCCTGTTTTTCTAGGCTTTGCTGCTTCTAGGAAGAGTCTTGTTCAACAACCTATAAAATCATTTATTGTCTGACTTCCCAAGCCACGATAATATCTCTAAAGGAATCAATCTCTTGCTCACCCCTGCTTCCCCAGAACCTAGATCAGTGCCTGATTCTAATAGATAGCCAACACGTGTGTTCAGTGCATGGCTAATTGAACCAAAGACAGGATGATCTCATTGGATAAAAAGGAATGGTGTCAGGAGACCCATTTTGAGAGAGAAAGACTGAGTACCAGGTAGTAGCTACTGGTTCAAGTTCCTGTGCTTGCTGACTTTCGGGATGGCCCTAAAGATTTCCTTGTGTCCTACCCTTGCACTTTAGGATAAATGCCACCTCAATTCCCAGAATGCTCGGTTCTCTCCCTTCACAGCGATAGAAGCCTCAGCTCCACACTGTCCTTCTCTTGCCTGGACATCTGCCCAGCTCTTCAGTTTCAGGCTCCCTACCTCTCCCACTGCCTTCAGAACTTCTCCTCTTCATCCTAAATGCTCACCTCGGATCCCCAAGAGCCCTTCAAGGCCAGAAACCTTGGCATCATCTTCGTCCCTGAGCTATTTTTTCCTCCTGTGTGTCCAAGTCATTATTACTGCTCCGTCTCCTCCGTCTGCATTTCTGGAAGTCTGCCGCCCATTCAGCCTCTCACCGCTGCCTCAGCCAAAACCCTGGCGCAGACACACTTCCCTCCCCACCCGGCGCCCCTCCCACCCCTCGGTGAGTACAAGTGGTCCTTGGAAATTCCCACCCTGTTCTCCTGGGCCCCACAACCTGGGTCATCTACTCCAAAGCCTGGCATCTGCTACCCCCATAGCAGTGCCATCCTTCTGTCCCCACCTTCCAAGTACTGCCAATGCCTCCCTGTCCCATAAGTGTTGGAACCTGAGGAGCAGCTCAACATCCCCTCTCCCATAAACACTTGACTTTCAGTAGTTTTTTTTTKTTGTTGTTGTTGTTTGTTTTGTTTTGTTTTGTTTTTAGTTGCAAAAAAAAATAGAGAGACTAATAGTATGGTTTAAGCACTGTGCTAAGCATGCTGCATAAATTGGCTCATTTAACCAGTCAAAGGCGACATTATGATCTCACGTGTACTAAGGAGAACACGAAGGCTGAGATGGCTACGGGCTTGCCCAAGATGACACAGCCAGCTTGAAGCAGCAGAAGCAGGATACAAATCCAGGTCACTTCCCACCTGAGTCCAAGCTTTTAAGACCACACTATCCTGCCTTAACTCTGAGCCCTTCTTACAATTGAAGGGGGACCTTTCTAACTACCTCCACTGCTGTCACCACCAAAGGACCTACAGTGCATATTTCCAAATGCCCTCCACCCTGACTGCT